AGGACTCAGTGCCCCCCCCCCTTTTGCAAAAAGCCCCCCCTTCAATGCAACCACAGCAGTTTGTTCCGTGAGCTGCTTTGGGCTGGGTTCAAAGAGCGGGGTCAGTGACAGGGAGCTGGGACAGCCCCCTCCCCTACACGGGGGTTGAATTGCTGCTTGGGGAGGGGGGAGACCCTGGGGTTCAGCCCTGGCTGTGGGGTGCAAGGGGGGGACCCCCCCCCTTTTGCAAAAAGCCCCCCCTTCAATGCAACCACAGCAGTTTGTTCCGTGAGCTGCTTTGGGCTGGGTTCAAAGAGCGGGGTCAGTGACAGGGAGCTGGGACAGCCCCCTCCCCTACACGGGGGTTGAATTGCTGCTTGGGGAGGGGGGAGACCCTGGGGTTCAGCCCTGGCTGTGGGGTGCAAGGGGGGGACCAGCGTCAGGAATCCGGGCTTGGTGGCGTGATGACATTGATTGCCTACCCCATCGGTTGTCGAAGATGTGGAAAGGCCTGTTGGCTTTGGGGTCCGTCTTACAAAGGGGGGTTCTTCTTTGCGTTGGCTTTTAGAGGGTGACTGTTACGGGGTGGGGGGGGCGACTGCCGCTCCCTTTACAAGGGGCCCTGAGCTGGTAGAGAACCAAGCAGGGGCTTAACTTTAAGCTTGTGAGGAGCCCGGCTGAGTTCATGCTGGAAGCTAAGTGGACCCTTTGGTAGCATCCTGTCGTGGGTTCAGAAGGGTGATTGGGAAGCAGCATGGCCTAGTGGGTAGAACACTGGGCCTGGGCTGCGGGGACCTCAGATTTATTCCCAGCTCGGCCGGTTTCTCGCTGCGCGACTTTGGGGGCTTCCCACCTGTGCAAGGGGAAATGCGTCTGCCTTGTACCGCACAGTGCAAGGTGTCTAATCCGCTTCTGGCTGTGGAGCCGAGTTTCTCCGGGGGATGGGTTTGTCCAGGCTAATCAGCTCTGTAGCTTTTCTGCCTATGAATCAGAGGAGCTGCTGGCCGCCTTGATGGTTTTATTTCGGCCTCATCAACCCCCAAATTGTGAATCAGCCCCCACACCCCAAACTGGTGATTTGCCTTCAGATTTCCAGGGAAACTTTCCGCGGCGACGGGTTTGATTTGTCCTCTTGGGACCCCAGGACCTCCGCAGCTCAGGAGTTTCAAACAAACCACGCGAGCTGGCCAGGTGGTTCCGCTGGGTGTTGTGCGGGGGTGCCTACGAGAAAGCGCCTGCTTCCAAAAGCGAAGGTGGATCCCACACAGGCCCGGTGCAGGATCGGCTGCGCAGAGGCCTTTCGGAGCGCC